TTTTCTTGATGTATGTTAATGTATGATATATACGAACTCTGACTATGAATGTAATAATTTAGGGCCAATAACCAAAAAAGTTACCCATTAGGTCTCTATGTTACTTCTATTCTTTTTTATATAAAATACTTGATGGAGTAAGTATGAATAGTGTAACAGCCTTCAATTCAAACGGACTATAATAACTGATGTAATACAAAAGATAAAAAAAATGTCACATGGACACCCAAATATTTAATTATTAGGTTAAATGTTTTTTCGAAAAATTATAAGATATTTGTTTCTTTACAGAAAATTAAATCTTCAACCACATCCAAAGTTTACTCTCAGTTTTTAATTATTTTTTTTAGAAACCAAATAAAGTATGCGAAGAAAACATAAGCACTGAATTTGTTAAATATAGTATTTCAACTCGATTAGTGATAATATGAGAAGTGTATAAAAATATTATTCAAATTTCAGGTGCAAATCTTTGCGACAGCAACAACGGTTAGTGTACTCTCTTATGCTTACCGAATCTTACAGGAGAACCAGCGTATACATGCGAATGTCCTTACAAATATATCAAATAAGGCAATTCATGTGTTGAGTCAACCTGATTATTTGTCTTTATTTGTATTCATATTATGTCTGTATATCTAAACATATTAAATAGTTACTCACTCGAACACTTTCTTTATAATAATATTCCTGGATTCATATTACGATTGGTAAATGTACGTTTTACGCTAACACATATTCAGAACGTATTGGTTGGGCTTGAGTATCAAAAACATGTTTAGTCCTGCCACATATTTTATGCAACAATAAAATCATCAATGAGAAATGCATACACCAAAATCCAAAGGACATTAATGTTCACAACTACAGGTCACCGTATAGCCTTCAGCATACGAAAAAACATACCGTATAAAAGAAGGACGAAAGATACCAGAGGGACAGTCAAACTCATAGATAGAATGCTACAAAAGGTATATCATTTAAGAGAGAAACCAACAACCCAACCAGATAAAATTCAATCAAAAACACTTCTGACAGACAATATGGAACGACACTCACTGGACTACAGTCTGCCGGCGTGGATCAAGGAAATGATTAACACTACACCAATCTAAATGTGCCTGACATCTATCTACTGACAGAAGCCTGTACGTTTATATGGAAAGCCTTAGCTGTCATATATTATATTTGAAAAACTTTATGCTGAAGCTGATAATGTAAAGATAAGGCAGCGAGAATCAGATGGTGAATCGAGCGAACAAAATGTCAGTTTTAAATTACAATATGCTATAATATTATTCATCGAATATTTTTAAACAGTTTTGTGATTCGTTAAAACTTGATCACATGTACATTAGTATTTACTCAAAAAAAAAATTTACCTACTTATTTACTTATCTTAAATAACGGACAAGACTATGTTGTGCAGTAAGTTTAATTAGAACATTTGACATTTTCTCTTTATTGTATTTCACTCATGCTAGGTTGGATACTCATCACTGAATATTGTGTCTGCGTTGATCGGTTTGCTGATCTTAATAATTTTAATTTGATCCAGATAAGTAATTGCCTGAAATTGTTCGACGAGAATATCAATCTCAATCGGATCAAAAATATTTTTTTCAATAAGTCTTGGAAAATGTTAAAAACAAGATATTGCTGAAAAAAGGACATAGCAGAATGAAATTGTTTAGTGTGCGGTATATAGTCGAGTGATATTTTTTTAAAAGACCATTATTTAAGGACTATAATGCACCCACCTAACACCCGGATATATTATATATTATTTGAAAGCTTATTATCTTTACTTTCTGTTTTGCCCGGTCGTACAAAAAACATAAAAATAATAAATCACAATTAATAACACGTTTTGGCACATACATGTACGCGTACAATATAGCAAAATTACTTCTAAGAATAAAAACGCTTATGTTTGTATGTCAGATATAGGAGAAATCCCCCTGCATTTGTTCAACTCACTGGATCAAAATTTAAAAGTTATCATTTCTTATTGGAAATTAAATATGAAAGAGTTTATATCGTATACAGTAATTAATTTTTCACAATTTTACATGTATCCATAAAACCAAAAAGGTTATTCAGCGCTATATGTTTCTGTTGAAGGCATGTTGATACAAAAATGACAAACATCACTAACCAATAGAACTACTGTGTATCAGAAAGAAAAAAATTAGCCTCACTTACAAAATTACAAACATCGCTAACCAAATAGATTAATTTACATTCGAAAGACAATACGTAGCTTTCAAAGAATTATGGTTTTTGTTATGTCTTGTGTTTTGGATAAATACAAAAATGGCCAAATTCTTCCAAACTTACGGTTTTGGCCATTCTTTTTGCGTGTATAACATGTATAAGTTGATGACCTGTGTAGAAATAAGCCAAAATATTGATAGAATCTAAAAGTACGCATATTGGGCTGTGATACTTTAAATTTAACTTAAGATAGAACTCTTGATAATTGTCCTAGTAGTAAATAAATGGTGAAATTGGCCCTATTTCTCATTTAAATTCTCATTAAAACTTTCAGCCATATAAAGTAAATGGTTCCTAAAAATTTCACGAGGAGGACATCTTGCGCTTAGTTTTTAATAAAACCGTTGAACACATCCCACCCTGTTCCATGAAATTATAGCCAGTTGGCAAAAACATCTCTATAACTAGAGCTATTCTACAGCATTATGTTTCACTAAACACTTCACTAGTAACAAGATTTCAGTCTGAAACGGCCATTTTGGTCTGATCAAGTGTTAATCGACTGAATTTAATGCAAGAAAAAACGCTAAGACACTATCAGACTTTCAGACGGAGTTCCGGTCGTTAGTATTCAGGCCGTTCAGTCATGTTACAATAAACAAGACGGCAGGTTCTAGCAGACGATTGAGACTTCATCAGATCACGTTTAGGCCAATTCCGACCAAAGGTAAAACATGCTGTTTAGATTTTGTAAGATCGTTTTAAGTCGTGTTAAGATTTTAAATATTCGGGTAAGAATGGGCGATATTTTCGGCAAAGCTTGGAAGATGTTCTTTTGTGTTCTTTTAACGTAATATTGTATGTCATTAATTGAAATACCTGTGTTGCTTGGAAAATTTGTTATAATATGTGATCTCTGTCTGACCATAATTGAAATTCTTGAAAAAGAGAGGCAAAAGATACCAAAGGAACACTCAAACTCATAAGTCGAAAATAAACTGACAACGCTATGGCAAAAAACAAAGACTTTAGGACAACGAATAAAAACTTACGGCGGAGCAACAAGAACCCCACCAAAAACAGAGGGTGATCTCATGTACTCCGGAAGGGTAAGCAAATCTTGCGCCACCAGACGTGTTACTCATTTAAGTACACACTTGGTAATAACTCTTATTCGGTATGTCATATTCGACGAAAACATGACAACCTTACAACAACTAAAAACCTATAACATTTTAGAGACAAAACATCTCTTATCAAAACGGGAAAATTGCAGACGAAATGCAAAGTCGGTATTCAGATATGGTTGGATTGTTTTCAATTTAACTTATCTGTTGCGCGAACAAGGAAATAATATTCAAGTTGTTTTAAAGTTGAATGAACATCTTTTATTACCTTATAAGATTAAACCTGGATATACTGTTTGGTTTTTGAAACGCTTTAATTAACTGTGTTGTTGTTGTTTGAGAATAAAATTTACAAAAATGTACATGCAAACTTGTATTTAACATGTTAATACAAATGGCTTAAACGTTGCAGTGGTATTTCAGTTTCAACCATGAGTTATGTTTTTGCCTTCATATACGCATTTGTTCTTAATTTTGACATTATGGTAGCCGCGAAACTATAGTTGTAAGCGGAAATTGACTACATTAAGATTTGTTTCAATGAACACAAAGTGACAGACCTTTAATAGTTCATATAGATAAGATTTTATATTTCGTGCTACTTTATTCGTTGCATAATTGATTGAATGAATTCGGCCATTGTTTGTCAACTGTCTTGCACATGCTGTCAAATGACATTCAATTATTTTTTCGTTTAGATATTGGTTTTTTGTATTACGATATTATTTATGGGCCGGCTAAATGTAGATAATATACAATTACGGACATTACTTGTTATTTGGGCTGAATTGGTTGTCTTCAAGGTTTGAATCAGGTACTGTTTTAAGATTTTGACTTTCTAAATAACGACGTTAAATCAAATCACCATTTTTTGTATTTACCGAAAACTTATATATTCTTACACATAGTTGCCGTATTTTAAATTAATCACAACATAACAAGGTAAGAAACTTAAGAAAAACCAAACTTTACCAAAACACATAGTTTAAGACAATATAAACTTAAGTAAAACATAAAAAGACACCACCACCCTAATTAAACGGGAAAAGAGATCATTACTCTAAGAATGAAGGGATATTATTACCCTCAACAAGACATGAAGAGACAACACAAATTACTTGGGACAGGCACAGACAGAATTTTGCGGGTTAAACTTATTTGCGAGCGCTCAACCCTTCCCTAACATGGGACAATGGTGTAACATCACAACAAAAGAACAAACTGTAAAAATCATTTGGAAAAGGCCTTACTCATCATATCGATGTAAACCGCAAACAACTACTTAAGAAACAAAGAACTGATCTAAGAGCGCTAATGGCCATTAAGGATTTATGATAGCTTGACATTTTGTAGAGCTACCTGTTTATTGTCAAAGAATGAATGTACACAATCCTATTATGAAGGGATTGTTTTAAATTTTATGTTAAAATGTCATATAACTTTACTTCAAATGGAAGTTACTCATTACTGATGATAGTTTAAAGATATTTTTAAACGATAATTTTACTGCCCAATTACCAATTTACCACTGCAGTGGCATCTACCAATTATCTACTATTTACCCTATATGTCGTGATGTACTTATACAAAGCGTCGGACTATTAAACTAATGCGCTGCTACTTAAAAGTATTTATATGAAGGGACATCTGTCTGTTAAATAAGATTTATTTCAAAATCATCTCATCATATCTGCGTGAGTCATCAAGTGAACATCATCGAATTGTGAAATGGGTTTTTTCAATCTTTTGTTGAAAACGTTGCTGACCAATATGATCTCATTAGGTAAGTTATATTACATTGTACTATACTATGTATATAAAAATTTAAACGGCAAAAAGTATATATAGACTGCAATGAAACAACATATTTTTCAAGGAAATGATTAACACTACACCAATCTAAATGTGCCTGACATCTATCTACTGACAGAAGCCTGTACGTTTATATGGAAAGCCTTAGCTGTCATATATTATATTTGAAAAACTTTATGCTGAAGCTGATAATGTAAAGATAAGGCAGCGAGAATCAGATGGTGAATCGAGCGAACAAAATGTCAGTTTTAAATTACAATATGCTATAATATTATTCATCGAATATTTTTAAACAGTTTTGTGATTCGTTAAAACTTGATCACATGTACATTAGTATTTACTCAAAAAAAAAATTTACCTACTTATTTACTTATCTTAAATAACGGACAAGACTATGTTGTGCAGTAAGTTTAATTAGAACATTTGACATTTTCTCTTTATTGTATTTCACTCATGCTAGGTTGGATACTCATCACTGAATATTGTGTCTGCGTTGATCGGTTTGCTGATCTTAATAATTTTAATTTGATCCAGATAAGTAATTGCCTGAAATTGTTCGACGAGAATATCAATCTCAATCGGATCAAAAATATTTTTTTCAATAAGTCTTGGAAAATGTTAAAAACAAGATATTGCTGAAAAAAGGACATAGCAGAATGAAATTGTTTAGTGTGCGGTATATAGTCGAGTGATATTTTTTTAAAAGACCATTATTTAAGGACTATAATGCACCCACCTAACACCCGGATATATTATATATTATTTGAAAGCTTATTATCTTTACTTTCTGTTTTGCCCGGTCGTACAAAAAACATAAAAATAATAAATCACAATTAATAACACGTTTTGGCACATACATGTACGCGTACAATATAGCAAAATTACTTCTAAGAATAAAAACGCTTATGTTTGTATGTCAGATATAGGAGAAATCCCCCTGCATTTGTTCAACTCACTGGATCAAAATTTAAAAGTTATCATTTCTTATTGGAAATTAAATATGAAAGAGTTTATATCGTATACAGTAATTAATTTTTCACAATTTTACATGTATCCATAAAACCAAAAAGGTTATTCAGCGCTATATGTTTCTGTTGAAGGCATGTTGATACAAAAATGACAAACATCACTAACCAATAGAACTACTGTGTATCAGAAAGAAAAAAATTAGCCTCACTTACAAAATTACAAACATCGCTAACCAAATAGATTAATTTACATTCGAAAGACAATACGTAGCTTTCAAAGAATTATGGTTTTTGTTATGTCTTGTGTTTTGGATAAATACAAAAATGGCCAAATTCTTCCAAACTTACGGTTTTGGCCATTCTTTTTGCGTGTATAACATGTATAAGTTGATGACCTGTGTAGAAATAAGCCAAAATATTGATAGAATCTAAAAGTACGCATATTGGGCTGTGATACTTTAAATTTAACTTAAGATAGAACTCTTGATAATTGTCCTAGTAGTAAATAAATGGTGAAATTGGCCCTATTTCTCATTTAAATTCTCATTAAAACTTTCAGCCATATAAAGTAAATGGTTCCTAAAAATTTCACGAGGAGGACATCTTGCGCTTAGTTTTTAATAAAACCGTTGAACACATCCCACCCTGTTCCATGAAATTATAGCCAGTTGGCAAAAACATCTCTATAACTAGAGCTATTCTACAGCATTATGTTTCACTAAACACTTCACTAGTAACAAGATTTCAGTCTGAAACGGCCATTTTGGTCTGATCAAGTGTTAATCGACTGAATTTAATGCAAGAAAAAACGCTAAGACACTATCAGACTTTCAGACGGAGTTCCGGTCGTTAGTATTCAGGCCGTTCAGTCATGTTACAATAAACAAGACGGCAGGTTCTAGCAGACGATTGAGACTTCATCAGATCACGTTTAGGCCAATTCCGACCAAAGGTAAAACATGCTGTTTAGATTTTGTAAGATCGTTTTAAGTCGTGTTAAGATTTTAAATATTCGGATAAGAATGGGCGATATTTTCGGCAAAGCTTGGAAGATGTTCTTTTGTGTTCTTTTAACGTAATATTGTATGTCATTAATTGAAATACCTGTGTTGCTTGGAAAATTTGTTATAATATGTGATCTCTGTCTGACCATAATTGAAATTCTTGAAAAAGAGAGGCAAAAGATACCAAAGGAACACTCAAACTCATAAGTCGAAAATAAACTGACAACGCTATGGCAAAAAACAAAGACTTTAGGACAACGAATAAAAACTTACGGCGGAGCAACAAGAACCCCACCAAAAACAGAGGGTGATCTCATGTACTCCGGAAGGGTAAGCAAATCTTGCGCCACCAGACGTGTTACTCATTTAAGTACACACTTGGTAATAACTCTTATTCGGTATGTCATATTCGACGAAAACATGACAACCTTACAACAACTAAAAACCTATAACATTTTAGAGACAAAACATCTCTTATCAAAACGGGAAAATTGCAGACGAAATGCAAAGTCGGTATTCAGATATGGTTGGATTGTTTTCAATTTAACTTATCTGTTGCGCGAACAAGGAAATAATATTCAAGTTGTTTTAAAGTTGAATGAACATCTTTTATTACCTTATAAGATTAAACCTGGATATACTGTTTGGTTTTTGAAACGCTTTAATTAACTGTGTTGTTGTTGTTTGAGAATAAAATTTACAAAAATGTACATGCAAACTTGTATTTAACATGTTAATACAAATGGCTTAAACGTTGCAGTGGTATTTCAGTTTCAACCATGAGTTATGTTTTTGCCTTCATATACGCATTTGTTCTTAATTTTGACATTATGGTAGCCGCGAAACTATAGTTGTAAGCGGAAATTGACTACATTAAGATTTGTTTCAATGAACACAAAGTGACAGACCTTTAATAGTTCATATAGATAAGATTTTATATTTCGTGCTACTTTATTCGTTGCATAATTGATTGAATGAATTCGGCCATTGTTTGTCAACTGTCTTGCACATGCTGTCAAATGACATTCAATTATTTTTTCGTTTAGATATTGGTTTTTTGTATTACGATATTATTTATGGGCCGGCTAAATGTAGATAATATACAATTACGGACATTACTTGTTATTTGGGCTGAATTGGTTGTCTTCAAGGTTTGAATCAGGTACTGTTTTAAGATTTTGACTTTCTAAATAACGACGTTAAATCAAATCACCATTTTTTGTATTTACCGAAAACTTATATATTCTTACACATAGTTGCCGTATTTTAAATTAATCACAACATAACAAGGTAAGAAACTTAAGAAAAACCAAACTTTACCAAAACACATAGTTTAAGACAATATAAACTTAAGTAAAACATAAAAAGACACCACCACCCTAATTAAACGGGAAAAGAGATCATTACTCTAAGAATGAAGGGATATTATTACCCTCAACAAGACATGAAGAGACAACACAAATTACTTGGGACAGGCACAGACAGAATTTTGCGGGTTAAACTTATTTGCGAGCGCTCAACCCTTCCCTAACATGGGACAATGGTGTAACATCACAACAAAAGAACAAACTGTAAAAATCATTTGGAAAAGGCCTTACTCATCATATCGATGTAAACCGCAAACAACTACTTAAGAAACAAAGAACTGATCTAAGAGCGCTAATGGCCATTAAGGATTTATGATAGCTTGACATTTTGTAGAGCTACCTGTTTATTGTCAAAGAATGAATGTACACAATCCTATTATGAAGGGATTGTTTTAAATTTTATGTTAAAATGTCATATAACTTTACTTCAAATGGAAGTTACTCATTACTGATGATAGTTTAAAGATATTTTTAAACGATAATTTTACTGCCCAATTACCAATTTACCACTGCAGTGGCATCTACCAATTATCTACTATTTACCCTATATGTCGTGATGTACTTATACAAAGCGTCGGACTATTAAACTAATGCGCTGCTACTTAAAAGTATTTATATGAAGGGACATCTGTCTGTTAAATAAGATTTATTTCAAAATCATCTCATCATATCTGCGTGAGTCATCAAGTGAACATCATCGAATTGTGAAATGGGTTTTTTCAATCTTTTGTTGAAAACGTTGCTGACCAATATGATCTCATTAGGTAAGTTATATTACATTGTACTATACTATGTATATAAAAATTTAAACGGCAAAAAGTATATATAGACTGCAATGAAACAACATATTTTTTTCTTTTCTTCCAAAAGTAGAATAAGGTGTACATGTGCTAGAAAGAATTATATATTATTTGAAAGCTTATTATCTTTACTTTCTGTTTTGCCCGGTCGTACAAAAAACATAAAAATAATAAATCACAATTAATAACACGTTTTGGCACATACATGTACGCGTACAATATAGCAAAATTACTTCTAAGAATAAAAACGCTTATGTTTGTATGTCAGATATAGGAGAAATCCCCCTGCATTTGTTCAACTCACTGGATCAAAATTTAAAAGTTATCATTTCTTATTGGAAATTAAATATGAAAGAGTTTATATCGTATACAGTAATTAATTTTTCACAATTTTACATGTATCCATAAAACCAAAAAGGTTATTCAGCGCTATATGTTTCTGTTGAAGGCATGTTGATACAAAAATGACAAACATCACTAACCAATAGAACTACTGTGTATCAGAAAGAAAAAAATTAGCCTCACTTACAAAATTACAAACATCGCTAACCAAATAGAATAATTTACATTCGAAAGACAATACGTAGCTTTCAAAGAATTATGGTTTTTGTTATGTCTTGTGTTTTGGATAAATACAAAAATGGCCAAATTCTTCCAAACTTACGGTTTTGGCCATTCTTTTTGCGTGTATAACATGTATAAGTTGATGACCTGTGTAGAAATAAGCCAAAATATTGATAGAATCTAAAAGTACGCATATTGGACTGTGATACTTTAAATTTAACTTTAGATAGAACTCTTGATAATTGTCCTAGTAGTAAATAAATGGTGA